ACCACACACGGAGATCATCACCACGTGGCACGTAGACTTCTGTTGGAACGGCTTGTCTTAAGTATACAACAAACTCCTAAAAGCTTTCCATGAAATGAGAGGCTTCATATATAGCAAGTCTATCGAGGGAAGTTGCAAGAGGATGGACTAATAAGGAGCATATTCCCATAATTCTCATTGCTTTACAAATAGAGTTATAGAGACCGGGAGTTCACCTTCCTTTTTAATTAAAAGTTAATAAGCACATCCCTTTCTGAGTTCTGACAACTATTGGTTTCTCAAATATCAACACTACTTTTGAGCTCCATGATATAAGATGAAAGATATAATAAACCTTGAAAACAAGGATTTTTATTTAGGAGATATATACTCAATATATCCTTATTCTAAAATAACATGAACTTTCACAGGTGAACTTTGACATTAAATTTTAAACATGTTGATCACTCTTCTTTTTGTTTTGTGAGGGAGATACACCTGTATCTCCGACAAACCTATTCTCGATGGAGAGCACTAATGTGTAAACCGCCGTCAACATGAAGGTTTATCATTGTCCTATAAGTCACAGTACTTATCTCATCACCGAGTTTGAAGATGAAACTGCTCAGCAGAACAGCAGAAATGATCTTCATCTGCCTGTAAGCAAATTCCTTCCCCAGGCAAATACGCGGACCTGCCTGTTGATACCAACCAAAACTTGTTAGACTAAGAATCTCAATTAGGGACTCGAAAAGGCTTAGCGTATATGTAATCATCAAATCCAACCTGAAAGGCTGTGAACTTGAACGGATTCTCTGGCTGGAAGATACCGTCCTCATTAAGCCATCTTTCTGGCCTGAAATCCTCTGCATCGTCACCCCAAATAAAACTCATCCTTCCCATTGCATAAGGCTGGTAAGCTACTGTGTCTCCTTTATTCACACTATAACCATCAGGAAGAGTGTCATTTGGAAAAACACATCTTCGGATCCTGTGGTTACATAAAAGCTAAACAAATTATTTCGTTTCTTTCTGAAAAACTTCAGCAAGTAACGTGTAACACAAAAGAGAAAAATAAAAAGGAAGAGAACAAACAATGAGATTATGAGAGCAATGAAATTTTCTGACTGCGACTAGCTAGAATTACCATTGGAACTGCTGGATAGAGTCTGAGAGTTTCTGTCAATGCAGCATGTAAATACTGCATTCTTTCAAGTGATTCTTCTGTCAAACTAGCAGCAAGTTCTGAAAATTTTCCAACTCCTTCCATTTTCGTAATTTTCCTTACTTCTTCAGCAACCTTTTCCTGTATATTCTGGTGTTTACAAAGCATGTAAACAAACCATGAAAGTGTAACTGCTGTTGTGTCTTTACCCGCAATTACAAAGCTCAAGATTATATCTCTCAGATACTTCAAATCAGTGTCGCTCTGCTCCAGGAACCGTGACAAGATATCATCCTTTTTCATCTGCATTTCCTACAAATTCACACAGAAAGAATGCATTAATCTCCTCAGTAAACCGATATGATTACAGACTTCTAAGTTATGATTCGCTTACTGAGACATTGCTTTGTGAACTTTTCATTAGTTCCACTTTGTTACTGATTAATTTGTAAACAAAATCATCAACAGTTTTGACACTTCTCTTAAGTTTAGCCTCTGCGCCAATGTTGAGAAATTTCTTGATAGGCCAAAAGATGTCTACATATCGTAACATGGTTGAAGCACTAGCATCATCAAAAGCCTGGCCAAATTTCTTCCCTTCTTCATTTGAGCCACACATACTGTCTAGATCAACTCCAAATGCAACTTTGAAAATAGAATCTAACGTTGACTTCATAAACAAGTCCTATAGAAAGCCATTTCAAGTTAGTTCGTTACTCCAAAGTCTCCAAAAGTACATAGCTCATCTTATCAGTAAAACACTTTTGTCCAATACAACCAGTAAAACACCATCTTACCTGAATATCCATAATTTGGGCTGAATTAGCAGCATCGGAAATTATATCTGCTAGTTTTCCAGCATTTGTTCGGAAGATCTTGCTGCTGTAATCCCTCAACATTCTTGTAGAGAACTCATGGCTTGATACTTTCCTTTGGTTGCGCCATTTCTCACCATCCACTGTAAAGATCCCGTCGCCCAATAGATCATTAAGATTGTCATAGTTATAATACCCCTGCAATTTTGAACAAGGATATACAAATAATGTTAGCTTTTACATTGTAGGAACCAAAAATATGATAGTGAAATCCTGCAATATACCAGTTTACTAGTTTAGTAGGCTTCTACATGTCCCTAAGACCCTCACCAAAAACTAATTTAACACAATCCGACATTGCATTGAATTATTGTTTAAGGTCCAAAATTTATAAGACATCACGCTAAATTAGAAATTTGCACTAGTATAGGTGTATGCATTATTCTTTATCCTCTCCTACTCCACCTAGTAGGTCTTTTGTTTTACAAATCTCATATATATTCTGTTTCTTTCTCCTCCTAAAATTAATTTGCCAAAATATCTAACACTGACCTTATGAGTCAAGATTACATACAATTTAGTTTAATTGGAACTCTGAAAGATACCCGTGCTAATGCGCAAGATATATTACTTTTGTGAATTATACAATTTAAATAATAATTATTTACTTTCTCTTTTGAGATACATGGATCCATATTATTTTACTTAATACTTCATATTACTTATTTTTAAACTTTTACCCTGCTTTTTTTAATTTATACGAAGTAATTCTTCGAAATGGAGCTATCAAAGACTCACCCTTATCAAATAAAAACGAAGACAAAGTCCCACTCTTACAAAAAAAAAAATAAAAAAAAAAAAAGGACCACCAACTTGGTCCGATATTTATATGGACTAACGGAGTATATCACCAAAGACCCAGTCTTACATAAAATTAAAACAATGGCTCGGATCGGAGTCACCAATTTGATCAGATATGTCATTCATTGATTATCAGTTTAATTATTTACTACGTACACGTCAAATTTCACTGTACGTCGTTCCTACCCAAAAATTGTTAATGTGCACCGCTTTGGTACACCTAGCTCTAGGTATAAACAAGAACTAAACTTTCTGAGAGTATGATGAACATCATGCACTCGTCATAAAAATAACAAGTTGACAGCGCAAAGCTAATAGTACAAACGGATCAATAACAAATAGTAAGGAAAAGATAGCAATAGTGATAGATTCTACGTACCTTGCCATAGTTATCAAAGTTGGTCTTGAGGATATACTCAACATTAGCAGGATCCGAAGTGTAAACCTCGTTTCGAAATGGTGTTAATATTCTGTAAGTCTTGTACTTGGCAGCGAGATCAGTCATGCAGTGATGAAGCTTCTTGAAGTTACGGAGGTGATGAAACATGGTTCCACCAATAGGGTGGTATTTTTTCACTCCATTTTTATAAAACACTTTGTTTGCCAACAATTTGATGCCCAGAAAAGCTAGGATTACTACGATTGTTAGGGTAATGTATATAAAATTACCAATTTGGGTATCCATTGTGATGAAAAAGCCAGATATATTTGGTGTTTTCTACTTTTGTGGTATTTTTATGTTGCCTTGTTTTTATAGAGTATCTTGAAGAGTTTGAGCAAAAAGTCGGTATAAAAAAAACACCCTCTTGCCAGATTGGTATAAAAAGAAGTAAACGATGATATTTCGATAAAACAACAAAAGAAGCAGTAATCTTACTAATATGGTATACATTTTGCAAATTGGCTTTTTAATAGAATAACTTGAAGAGTTGGTGAAGAGTTAGAGTAAGTCCTTGAAGAAAGTGTTGACAGAGTGACTTTGAAAATGGAAAACATATAAATTATGTAGTTGAAGAGGGAAAGATCACTCTTATATGCACGTAAGAGAGTTATAATAATGACACTAACTATAGACTATAAAATATACATGTCATTCTACTAGATTGGATAAAACTTAATTCATCACTTGGATTGAACCTTAAGTTTAGTAGCTCTAGGTTATTTTTATTAATATTTTTAATTTTTTTTTTGAAGGATATCCATATTGATCTAAACTTGCAAATGCATGAGTAACTAAGGATAGATGGTATATAAAAGGCAATAATTTTGTTGTTTTTTTTAAAAAAAAAAATAAACTTTTAGGGGTTACCGTGCAGTGTATGCTAACAGTTGACCTGAACAAAATAAAAATAATGATCAATGTACCCTAAATCAATAAAAAAAAAATTCTTTGTATTTGACTTATTATATATCATTTTTGATATACTACCATAGACATACATATATCATTATATCTTGTATCTATTGAGATAATCTTTTAATTCCCACTTCGGTCATTATTGCGTGTCAAATACCATTTTTAAGGGGGAAAAAATACTTTGTATGTAATACTTATAGAGTAAACATTAGTTAACAAAGCCATAGATAATCTACATCTGTATAGAAAAGTGATTATTTCGTAATTTCTACCCTCTTCATAACTAATGAGTCCCAAGCCTTTAGGCAACCCATACAATTCAAACTACCCTCTCTATTATCTCCTAGAGCCGATGCTCCAGTGAGACAAGGTAGTGCAAACAACCCTCTCTTTTCTATCTCCTAGAGCCGATACTCCAATGAGATAAGACTTCGATGCTCCAGTGAGACAAGGTAGTGCAAACTTCCCTCTCTTTTCTATCCCCTTGTTGACTGCGCACCTTTTCCCTTTGTTTTACCAATTACCCCCGTACTGTATTCCCCATTTTCTTATATCCACCTACTATGTACCCTTTCTTACTCTATCCTCGTTTTGTTTTTTACACACTCAAATCCCCTTAAAACAAGAGTCCTAAGTACATGAAAATAATACATAATAGAGCATTTAATACAAGTAATCTGCACCTCTCTAAGCATTTTTTTAAAAAAATAGATGGAACACTTCCTGATAGCTTCCTTTTTTCCTTAAACTTGGTTATTACAAAGGAAGATAAAAAGATTGGAACCGTTACATTCAACCAATTTTAACAAGGGGAGAAAAAAGATTGTGATGATTTTAAAAATATACTTAACAATTATATAAATATAGGTACACTAATTTTCAAAATTGTTTAGGCTAAAGAAGAAATTCCACTCATCAATCAACAGAAGGCATTTAAACCTTCGTACTTTGAAGCCTCCTATATTTCACTTGGGAAAATCAATTTGTCAAATTGCAAAAGATTCATCCCCTCATTATTACAAAATTGTACACGATTGCCACGAGTACCCTGAGCTCCTAGAGCCATGACTCCCTTGCTCCTTTATGTCAAAACAACTGTGAACTCAGAAGATGCTAGTGGAAGTAAAATCAAAGCATTCAATCAATTAACTTGAGCCCAAATAAGGAAAAACCATAAACTAAAAATCAAATCTACAGCATCATTGACTCTGGGTTTTCGATGTAGCCTTTAAATGCTTTTAGCCATTCTGCACCCATGGCACCTACATAAAGCGAATGAAAACAGATTAACATTCAATTCTCGTGGCATAACATTTACTAAAATGCATAGCAAATGTTACTCACCATCAATGACACGATGATCACAGCTTAGTGTAACGGACATGAAGGAGCCAAATTTGAATTGGTTAACACCATCATCCGAAGGTATAACTCTCTTTTGAGCTGCACAAGTATAAAGTAAATTATTAGTAGTTTTATCGCTTGGGTTGATGTCTAATATAAATATTTGCTGTGTCAACTTGTAAGTATATATGAGCAATATATGTATAATTGTGTACCAGAGCCAACTGCAAGAATGGCCGCCTGAGGAGGATTAATAATTGCACAGAATTGTTTGATTCCAAAAGGTCCTCCCAAGTTTGACACAGTAAAAGTGCCACCCTGCAATAAAAATAAATATATTAAAGAAAAATTTAACGAGAACACTAACGAGGCCACGATTATAATAAAATTATGTTTAAAGTTGTTTTTACCTCATATTGTTCAGGTTTCAGGCTATTATCCCTTGCTTTTTGGGCCAAAAATTTAACTTCTTCAGAAATTTTGGATAAACCTTTCTTGTCAGCATCCTGCCAAAACAAAAAAAAAAAAAAAAAAAAAAAAAAAAAAAAAAAAAAAAAAATCCAGTTAGCATTAGCTTTCAATAATGGTTCCTAAAGTAGAAGTAGGAGTCTTCCCTCAAAAAAAAAAAAAAAAGCTGTAGGAGTCATCATATACCCGGACAACTGGAACATATAAACCATTCTCAGTTTGCACTGCTACATTGATGTTCACATTGTGATACCTGAACATAATAAAAAATACAACTAATTCGAATCTATAACAAAGAGGAATGCACCAAAACGAAATCGGCATATTAGCACAGTACTCACTGGCGAATATAGTCATTGTTCCAAGAGCTATTGCATGCAGGAACTTTCTTCAGTGCCAGAGCAGCAGCCTAAACAGTACACACGAAGAGATACATTTATATTACATCTAATAAATCCAAAATTATTACACCCAAAATTGCATTAAAGTTGACAAGAACTCCAACTAGTTGCAGCATGCAGTGTCGAATAGTAAAAACCAACATGAAACAACTCCCATCTTACTGACCGGCATACAAAACAAATCACAGAACAAGTGGACAACAACCCTGGTTTGCTTTCAATTTGAGATATACATAGAACAAGTGAATTCAGAAAACCATATTCAGCACCTTTGAAACCACTCACAATCTTGACTACATTTAATAGAAAACTACCACCATCAAGTTGTCAAAATTTCAACTCTTTTCAATGACCCAAAACACTAGTCATGTATCGATATAAACAAAAGTACATATAATTTGGATAATTCTATATGGCAATTGGATGAGAATGTAAAAAAGCCTAGCGGGAGTATATGCATGAGTCACTTGTAAGATCTTAGTCAAGGTGTGCTGCACAAAACAAATAAGATACTAAAAGGACAAGGGCACATGTACACTAAGGGTACATGGAACATCATACTTCCTCCATTAATTGAATTTCCAAAATCTTTCCTGGCTAGATTTTTGTTCAAATGTATTTGTGAGCTATTAGAATTGTTGAGAAAGGAATATTCCATGTACACCTAGTGTAAATATATTACTGTCCCTAAAATACACAACTTTAATTTAGTAATAGAATAATTGACATCCAAAACAAAATTTATAAGTACATAAATAGCACAAGGAAAATATATTGCCATCTGAGAATATAAAGTGCAAATACCTTGATCACAAGATCATTAACAGAAATCCTCTTCCCTCCAGAAGCTTCTTGTAATGAATTCAATTGGCTTCGCAATCTGAACGTCATCAAAGAGCACGATTAAGACAGTTAAACAAGATTTTGAAACCGAGAGAGAGAGAGAGAGAAAGCCAATCAGTTACTTACTCCATAAGTTTGTCCACACAAGTATCTACTGTCAGATAATAATGAGGAATGGTTTGCTTTGACATTAATAAGCGTGCAGCTGTGACCTGTTGTGTTGAAAAATAAAACGTAAGCCAAAGCAGCTCACATAGTGAGCATAGTAAATGACTTTTCCCCATCGTCTATAAAGGTTTCACAATACCATGGCCATAGAATCGGATTAAGAACTGGAGATATTCTGGAATTAAAAACAGATGCCTGTGAGGCAAAGAAGTGGAAAAATACTTGCCTTTCTTATCTGAGAATGAGGAATATCTGAGAAGTCCATTCCAGCTCCTTCAGCAGTCTTAGGTACAGATGCTTGTGATTCCTTGCCTCGAGATGCTATACAAAAGCAATATATATATGTGTGAGCCAAGTGTAAGGTAGATTTGTGCTGAAAAGACCTCTAGGGTTATATTCACATGAGCATCTCTATATAAAATTTATTCACTAAGTATAGGTTATAATAAATCACACCATAGGCAACAAATTGTATTGGAATCCAAGGAATTCACAGTAGAAACTAGAAAATTTAAAATAAATTAATTTATTGACTTTTTTAAAACTTTCTTGAAATTTTCTGTGGTAAAGTGGGATGAAAATTGACCCAATAAAAAAGCTTCTTAAAAAATTAACCATCACCAGGACTAAGAGTATGTAATAAAAATTAACCAAACCACAGAAAATTATAGATACAAGTAATTGTAGAGTGAAATCATCGAAAGAAAATATAAAAGAAAACAATGCAAATTACCCAAGTAATCTTCAATGTCAGCTTTGATAATGTTTCCATCAGGACCTGTTCCCTTTATGCTTGACAAAGAAACCTTTATTGCACAGAACAAAATCAAGGGACACAAGTTAGAATCATAGAAATATCCCAACGCAATAACTAAACCTGGAACAAATTTCTAACGAGTTACTCACATTGTGGTCTTCAGCCAACTTCCTTGCAAGGGGACTAGCAAATATGCGATCCCCACCAGGTGATTTTTGACTAGATGGAGCATTCTTCTCCTTGGGTACAGCAGGAGGAGTCTGAGCTGTTTTTTGTTCAGAAGCTTCAGGTTCAGATGGTTTCTCGGGTTCAGGAACAGCAGTTTCTGATTTGGAGGGTGTGTAATCTTTGAATTTCTCAATATCTGCCTCATCTTCTACGGTGATAGCAATCACCTAGCATGAAATCAAGATAACCCAAAGTCAGAGTTTCAGAGATAATAGAACACCAATTACGTTGACAGGAAAAGGTTTTAAAGATATTCTGCCAGCAAAACAATACTGTAAATTTAAAATACAGAAAACAACAATTCAATCCCTAATCTAAGTTTCAAGAATCTGATAATATGATTAATATCACATAATAATTCTCTTAGCTACAGGATATTACTGCTCCATGTTTGGATTTGCTCTCACAAAAGCAATACCTGATAAGGAGAAATACTAGAAGAGAAATGATATCTTAATGCTTAAAAATTACTAATGCTAGTGTGAACAGATATTAAAAATGCATTAAAACCCCGAAATCCATAAGGCTCGCTTGGCATGATCCTAAAATTATTATCTTTAGTCTTAAATAATTAAAGACTGGATAAGATAAAATTCTATGGAAAATAATTACAAATGCACATCACCATGTCAATATTCTTACAAACGAAATCCCAAGGCCACCTTATTCTTAACTCACTAAGCGTTCACCCCAGAACTAACTACATATCCTTCATAATGATTTCTAGAAGTCAACCCACCATACCAAGAAAATCCTATACGACGATGAGAACTTAAGACACAAATAACACTGTATGAGTTTATATGCTGAACAAAACCTTCACAGTAACTCAACAATAAAGAAAGCAAGATAAATCTCCCCTGACCCCAGATAAGTAAGAAGAAATCTTTAGATATATCCAACATTGATACACAGCATGCAGGGACCAGCATATTCAAAATTACTGGCCTCTTTGTTCCATATTTAGGTGGGTTATAATACCGAAGGAATTGAGCACAGGGAGATTAAAATTGGGGAGGTGTGTTTGGGGGGGGGGGAGCTTTAGGATATAATTTCAAGGAATTAAGGGTATATTATGAACAGCAAAACTAAATAAACTAAGGCAGCCTTCCGTCCACTAAAATAGTAATTTCCATGCAGTGTTAAAATTGAAACTAAACAAATAACTTAACATAACAGATATAAATATACTTTATACACCCCAATCATATAATTGACTTAAATTGGCCCTTTATCAGCTTAAAAAGCGCGCCTAGGCGCAAGGCACAGTGAGGCTCAAGAGTTGGCGCCTTAGCTCTGTGAGGCTCAAAGACCTACAAAAGGCGCGCGCCTTTGCGCTTTTTTTCTAGGCTACTTCTTGCCCCTTTGCGCCTTATTTTGCTCCTTAAGTTGTAAAGCATCAATAGCTATTTTGTAAGTTGTTATTTTCTAAATAACACTATGGGACTTTGTGATGGTCAGTTTAATTCATTTCTAGAGGAGAGAGAAATCCCATATCCCCCAATCCGATTTGAAGAACCCTAACTATTGGTCACATGGCCCTTTCACCTTTTCACATAATTCTAATTTTACACTTATTTAATAGAAATTATTTTTTCTTTTCTATACTAATAAAGTGCACCTCACCTACAAAAGGCGTGCGCCTTTGCCTTGCGCCTAAGCTCCAAGGACTTTTGTGAATTGGTGCGCCTTGGGCCCTTTAAAACTAAGCAAGTGTTACATCTTCAGAGGGAAAAGATATTTGTGTGAAACAGAACATGGAAGGCTCAACTAACTAACCTTCCCCAAGTAAGATTATTAACAAGTTGCATTAAGAGTAATTACTTAAAGCAATCAGTTCCACATCCGGACTCAAATGCTTGAAATTCTAAGGGAGAAGATAAACAAACAATGCAACTGCTCTCCACTCTTTCCACGGAACTCAAGTCAAACTCCAAATCGAAGCATGATAATAAAAATCAGCCAACTCAATACCTCGCCAACTTTAATTCCTTGTGCGCCATCTCCTTTAACTATCTGGGCAATATAACCATCCTCCATACTTTCCATCTCAACTGTCGCTTTATCCTTTCAAGATTGAAAACAAAACCATAAGTATCTTGGGGGAGCATTAAGGAAACCTTATTTGAAAGAAGCAAAATACGTACTGTTTCGACTTCACAGATTACATCACCAGGAGATACTTTATCTCCTACTTTCTTCACCCATCTAGCAATATTCCCCTGGAATTCAATTATACCATTATCAATCAGTTCATCAAGTCAAGTAAGTCCAGCATGTAAAGAGAGGTAAATCACATACCTCTTCCATAGTAGGAGAAAGAGATGGCATGCCGATTTCTTGATGAGGTGGCAGATCTGAAAAACACAGGAGTTGAAAGAACATCATATTTTAGTAATAAAGTACTAAAAAACTCACTCTGGAGAATTAAAAGTTGACCAGAATTTGAATGAGATATGAACAAGTAATAATATACCCTTCTTTCCACACTTCTTTCATGAGTGACTACAACCTAATAACAGAATAAACATTACAACATCTTCTGCCTTGTCTATTAGTTAAATAAAGAACATTGTGCTATTAAATAATGCATGTCCAAAAGACTTGCTTAATATGAGTCAAGCTGATACACTAACTGCTTACAAGAGTATGAATTAACAGCTAAGATAAGTACAGCTATCAAATTTTGGCTGTTAAGAGCTAAAATTTGCACAAAGTCTGTCCGTAAAAAGACTTCAAGATATCCGAACACATAAACGAGGCCAAATAAATTCAATATCAATCTTGCATATGCCAATAGAAGACACCAACCAAGCTCAACAGACTTACAGACCACTAATTTAACAACACATACGTAACAAGCTTAACCAAATTGGCAGAAAGAATTTTAGATGTTCCACTAATAAGTAGAGAACTAGAGATGCAATTACAACAAAGGAGAGGAAATAAATACCTGCACTTGATGAAAAGTTCCTTTTTGAGAGCAGCTGCAAACTGGAGATTCAAACAACAAAAAAAGAGAGAATAATCAAATGTGGAAGAAATAGCTGCAGTCCAAAATTTTAAAAGTACCCCAACTGAATATGCAATAGTAGCCCTTCTCTTACAAAGAAAGAAGAGTGGTCAACAGAAGTTCAGGAACTAGAGGCACACCTGGATCCTTGAGACAGGACTTCATTAGATCCCATTTTCAGAGTCATGCTTGAAATACTTCTAGTGAAGACTCCGGTTACTGGTGCCTATACATCACACACAGAAGTTAAACAAAAAAACCATATTTGGCTATTAAAGTATGCAAAGACCCACAGGAAACAAACAATATCCACTAACCATGACAGCTGCAGGGTTTGAAACCCTAGGAAACTGACTGGAATTGCCTTTACCGGAACTCCATCCAGTTAAAGAGCTACAAGTTCCATCCCCTTTCTGAAGATTCCAGCCAGATTGATGGATCTTCAAAGCATCTGGTATAAAGATAACTCACATTCATACCCATATATACAAGGTAAATATAGGTTTGGCATTACAATTACTAACCACTGAAAGCCAGCTCAAGGAATGGAAAAAAAATTAAAGAAAACAATATATCAACAATATTGAAGTTACAGATTCAGCACTACATTTTCAAACACAAAACCTGGTTTTTAATGTTAGTTTAAAGGGTTTCAGACCCAATCAAGCATGTTACAAGCTTACAACAACAACTAACACAACAACTCTGTATGCAAAGTTATAATAATTGACAAGCAACAATTCAAAGATCGATAATTAATTAATCACAAAATAAAAAAGAAATTGGCAAGACCATGAACATTAAACACCAATGAAAAAACACTAGAAAAATATTAATGAGTACAAGATATATAGACAGGTTTAATCTATTATTCCATGGCAAACAAAAAGGAAATCCAATTCAGAGATTAGCAAGAAACACCTTCTACACTTTTTGAGGATGAGCGAACGTCATGGGTGAACTGACGAACCAAATTGGCAGGCCCACGGCGAACCGACTTGGAAGCAACCTTGGACTGTCAGTAATGAGAAAAACAAAAGAAAGAACAGTCAACATGAAAATGTTTAGAGCATCCTACTTGTAATAAAATTACCATGAATATGCCAGCTATAATTATATAACACTGTTTTCATGTTAACTCTTTAACATTCATCTGACTCGTCTTTCGGTGCATGGTAAAACTCTTTAAAGCTCACAAGCACAGACTAATACAAATTTGTAGGCTTCGCAATTACCAGCTAATTACAAAATCTATAGCTTTATTGAATACAAAACCTCCTAAGTATGCTTGGATTATATGTATATTGTATAAATCAATCAAAATTTCGCACAGCAAGCATACAATTACACATAAATTACGGAATTAAATTCAATTAAAATTGAAAAATTAACAGATGACAATTAATAACCTTTGATTTAGGCAGCACAAATTATTCAAAAATTTCTACTTTTGTATTTCTCAAAATGTGAACATAGGATTCCGGAGGCAAAGATATTAATAATACAAACATCGAGCATATAATTCAACAACAAATTACAAAAATTTAATACTCGACTAACATAAGATACTTAGATAATGATTTAGATTATCATCAAAAATCAAAACGAACGCCCTAAATTACCAGTAAATTACAAAAGTTCAAATTCTAGGTTTATAAAACACATCAAGAAGAAATTGAAATGGAGAAAATCAATGAAATAAAAGCGAATCATATTCCAAAGTCGATCAAAATTTGGCAGAAAAGGCAAGTGATCTAGAGATAAAAGCGACCAAAATTACCAGCATTGAGGAGAGAGAAAATTGAGCTGATGTCTAATTCGACGACTGTGGAGAAAGAAGATCTCCAGCGAGAGAAAATGAGTGAGTTGAATGTCAAAGGCTAAATCAGGTGACAAGAAATGAAATAGGGTTGGGTTTTGTTTTTTTTTTTTTCTTTAAATGAGATGAAGTAGCGTCGTTTTGATTCGAACAAGTTCTCGTGCTTTTTAGGACTTTTCCTCCTAGTACTAGTATTTGTTTTAATAAAAATAAATTCAAATTAGTTAAATGCCGTCAAAAATAAATTATAATTAGGGATCCTGTTCAAACACGCTAGTATCAAAGAGGTTCATACATTATATGAAGACATGTAGTCATGTATGAAATTAATTATATTCGGGTTTATATTTATATAAAGTAAATAGAAATGCCTATTCCAGTAAAAAGTAAATAGAAATGTATTTTATATTGGTTTGATAACATGCATTTATATTTATAATAAAAACAATTATGTTCAAGAAAATAGCTCTAGATAAAGTGTGTGATAATTGTAGTTGTTAAGCCAGTATTACCCGGGGGTCTAGCATTTCAAGAGTTTGTAAAGTGTTTGTTTTCTTTTTTGGCTTTGATAGCATAAAAATAACAATATGCTCAAAATTAGGAAAATTTGTTAATTACTATCTCAAAAAAAGGAGTTTTTGTGAATTACTGCCCCTAAAAAAAAAGTTGTTAATTACTACCCTTAAAAGTGATTAATTCTAACAACTACTACGTTTTTCACTAATCAACCTACTTAAGCTCTTAAAGATGTCATTAATCGTCTAAATTCTAATTAGTAGCTCTTAATCCTTAATTAATTAAATAAACTTTGAATATAGAATCTAAGGTACATCTCATTAGCATGTCCTGCAGAGTTTTGAAGTATTACAAACACGAAGTTATGAACTTGCAGTACATCAAGCATTCAATCTGTTTTTGAGTTTTATTTTCTGCTACTGCAACATCACTTCAGCATCATAGGAGCTCATTTTCTACTAGGCGTAATAAAATGGAATGATTGCTCAAAATATTTGTCATAATTTGGAAAATGATACTATATACAATACAAAACAACAAACCTGTCGGTGAAAATTAAGCCATTCAACTTATAAAAACCACTTTACTCAACATAAAAACAACTTTGATCACAAAATATTGGTTTAATTAATAAATAAGTGGTTTGTTGTATTCAAGTGAAGATAACAACTCCTTTATAGCTCTTATTATTCGTGGTAATAAATCAAAACACAACCTAAAGACAGTGGATTACTGAACATAAATATTGGCATCAATTCTATTCCTAGTAACAACTAATCAGAATCAATATTAGCTATTTAACACTTACATGGAAGTCGAAAATGTTATTTGCCTTTGATATCTGCGAAATAATCCTAACAAGTTTTGCAGCACTTCTACGGAAAACAGCACAACTGAAATCTCTGAGGACCCTGGTTGAGAACTCGACACTCGACAGCTTCCTCTGCTGCCTCCACTTATCTCCATCAACAGCAAAGATTCCTTCCCCAAACAGATCTCCAAGTATATCTCTGTCATGATCACCTTTTGTGTACTTGTCAAATTTTATTCTAAGAATATGTTCGATGTTTCTGACATCTGTTGTGTAAATTTCACTCTGATCAGGAGTTAGAATGCGAAAGGTGGGCTGTTTTCTGGCAATTTCAGTAAAATATTCATATAATGTGTTGAAGTAAAACAATTCATTGAAGACTGTCCCTTCCACAGGAGGATAATTTGGATTGCCAATCGACTTTCCGGAGTATACTTTCAAAACAGTAGCAAGAACAAATACTAAAATCAAGAAAAGAGCAGATGTTATGAAGTAAAAGGCGGCTAAGAAAAGATCCATGCTTGTTTTGGTTGAAGTTGTGCCAAAGCAAATATTCTATAATGATAATGAAGAAGAACGAATTGTGTATGTTCTCAATTTCAATCGTTTAACTTTAAAGACAAATCTGAACCGTTCATTTATTTGCAATGGTTGTGAGGTACAAATCTTTGTATCTTTCGGTAATTTATTTATCATTGACTGGTTTATTAATGTCAAGAATGTCATTTTCAATAGAAGTCAATGCAAAATGGAGATACAGACGTAATAAAGCAAACTGAACAACTCCACTGAAAACTATGATTAAACTTGGATTGACAATACTAGTACTCCATAAAACCATGGGCCCTAATAAACAACTTATAAAGCAACCAGCGAAAGTGTTGAATCCAACACAAAAAGAAGTATACAAGGAACGACGACAAGCGAAAGCAAAAACAGCATACAAGTACGAATAAGAACGTAAGCATGCTGTGTAAGTACATAGAGAGTACAATTTATGGGCTTGAACATCAAATTCATAGTCGAGTACATGATCTGAAACTCCATCAAACTCTAGCTGACAGTCACCAATCGCAGCTGCATGAATCAGCAATCAACAAAAAATGTGACAATCTCACAGAATAAGCTTTTTATCATGCTTCGTCACAACTTGGCATGGATTAGGAAAAGGAATTACCTTAATACTTGCAAATGGCTTAGACTGGGCTCCCCTGCACTATATATTATCACATACATCGTCACTTGCTTTACTAATTGATCATTTGCATGCTGGATTATGACATCGAAATTATGTTGACTTCCTTAGTATTCAAGGATTTTTTTTTTCTCAAACCTTCATTGCTATAAAGCAGAAGGAACAATGTAGCTGTTAAAAGATAATACAGAAAAGGTGACTGAATTCAATACCAAATGATGACAATGCAATTACACTTTCTTACAAATAACATTAGCGTCTAATTGAGTCCTCTACAAATTTCATCCTCTCTAAATAAGCACTAGACCTAATAATCAACATAATCAACAAACTTAATCCTACATCTCACAATTGTGCTTCACTTGACGGTATCCAACTAACTGGCTGTTGGGCTTCAATGGTCGGAGGTTGTCCGTACAATGGAGCCGTTTCATTCATTGTGGGTTCAGCTATGCTAAATGGTACAACAGGTGGGACCATAGTTGATACAGCAATATTCTCTGTTTCAGGCACAGATGTACCAGGTTGGACTTGGACAGTCGAATTCACAAATGTAGTTGTCATTGGAGGTTCTTCAGGAGTTGGAGATGGAGATCCAGTTAAACTCATTGTTGACAGATGTTCGAGTTGTTGCAATGCAGCCAATGCATCAGCTCCATCCTCATTAGGTACAAAAGGCCTAAGCACAACTACAGCATCTTTGATTGTTGCTTGCTGCAATCAAATTAAGACAAGGTTTAACATATAGGTCAACTTTATAAAGGGACAGTTCCAAATATAACAGAAAACGTTAATATACATATGACTTACCATGTTTTCAACCTTCTTCATCAACTCTTTATTTGCTGCCACTTGCTCAGAAGTTTGCTTCCCCACAGGTGAAGCATTCTGACAGTTAAAATTAGTCAGCATGAGAAATTTTAATAGATCACATGATATTCTTCACAGGCACATTAAGCAAGATAAGATTTGTGCAATAAATTAGTGTTTTAGTAAAACAGCACAAAAGCTTTTAGAAGAGTAGCAACAACACACCAGCATGCAGCATGTAATACAAGAGCAGAAAAATGTTGCTAGTGAATTGATACTTGATGTCAAATCCAAAGTGCCTACATACTCTCAACTCTCATAGCCATATTCCCATGACATCAACATTGTCTCTTTAATTGCCATCTATCTAGCTTTGAATTACTGTTGTATGTTGGGTATCACATGTCGGATCCTCCGACACCATGAGCAAAAACTAAATTTTATGAACTTTTAGAAACAGATGTATCTTTCAAAAAGTTCATCAAATGTTCATTTACTGGGCTTTAGTAAGTGATCTGACCTTTTATCCCCAAAGTTGTTGGGGAGAATATCCTGGATTCTAAGAAACCAATCTTCTCTCAAAAGATTTACAGAACATAGAATAATAAAATGTAAAATAAATCTTTTAACATGAAAGTTACAAAACAATCTTCATGAATAAAGGAGCTACTTGGACCCAAGCTTACAAATTAAACCTCCATCCCTTTTACTAGCATGCCAATCCAGAATAAAAAAATGAAGTAGAATGCATCTTGATTTTAGAGTTAAGGAATTAGCTAGATATTATACCTCAAACCAAATTACCAAAGAATACATCTCCTGCTATAAGCTATAATTTCTCAGTCTAACCTCCCACAACCCAGCCACCTTCTCATATGGTTGGCTGTCTTCATATGTTTGTATAAAACATCTATTCAACTCTTAAAAAAACAATTCAAAGCCTGCAATCTGACAAATCTGAACTCAAATGGCTCTCAATTTCCCCCAAATATAGTATTCTTGTACCAATAAAAATGATTGCAAAGTAACAGTTGCATAAGAAGGGAAATTTCCCCCCCGGTTGTATATAATGAAGTTAGCCTTCCACCAGTGTCATATAGAAGACTAGCAACAATATTATTTCCCACGGTAACATAGAAACTGATACATTTCAGATAATTAGTCAGTCCATTGCCTGCTTAATCTGCTGTACTAATGCACTAACCTAGGGCACCCTTTACAATAGCCTATACACAAATCACTGCCTCACCACTGCAACCTACTTAGATTGACAGCGATTATGACCATTACTACATTGGAGTATGCTTTCCATAATACTCGCATTGGAGTACGCTTCCACAAAAATGCTCACAGCAGAACATCTAATCAAAAATTTCTCAGGAAATCCTTATACAGTTATAAACTTATAAATACAAATCCGTACCCCTAGCTGCTGAGAATGGGCGAATCTTTAAGGGATGGAGGGAGTAATGTAAAATATAAAATGTTGACTTCCCTTCACAACTCAACTCAAAATTCATGATTAATTTATTTATTAAAGGAGTCCTACCCAATAAATTAAATGTTTTACAATTTCATGCAATATTAATTAATTCAATTTGTACTCAGATAATAATATGACAAATACCACAAATAAAGATAGTCAAACAACAATATTAATAATTAGAAAACGAATCCAATTTTATCTACATTTAATAACAATCAGAACCCAAAATAAAGACTTTAAATTTGATAATAACTAAAGCAAAGAAAGGCAAGAAAATCTTACAAAGATAACATAGTCCAACAGCTAAAATAATACTTGTATTCAGCACTAATTTTCTTTCTCCTCTCAAAACTCAGTGAATGGACTCAACAGAACACATCAGCACTTTACTATTCCAATATTCCTCAACAAACTAATTTCCATTTATGCCCCTCCAACAGTCCAACCTCCATAATTCAACATTAAAATTTTACAAAATGACAATTAATTCAAAGGTGCCAAAATTCAAATTCAAACAAACTCAAACTTTAAGAGGGAAAAAGGTCACAGCACTATTACCTTCCTAGGCCTGCCACGAGGCTTGCCAGTATACTTCCTCGCCGGTTTCGGTGGGGCCACACTCGGCACACTCCCCCTAGGTGGCCTACCGCGCCTCTTCCCGCCAGCAACACCGCTACCAGGAGCCACTCCCGCTTGCCTAGGCGGGCGTCCACGCGGCCTCTTCCCAACCGGCTTCGCAACAGGGGCTAATGCACTCCTTTTAGGCCTGCCCCTAGGCTTACCAGTACCACTCCCTACAGCAGCAATTCCAGGGGCAGCAATTCCGGGGGCAGCAGCCCCCTTAGCCTTAGGCGGTCGCCCTGGCCGCTTCTTCGGAACCCCGGAAACCGTACCATTCACCGGAACAATCGACAATTCTTGCTTAGCAGGCTGGAATTCAGCTTGTGCCTGATAAATCGGCTGCTGTGCCGGCTTATTCTTAAAAGGGCGGCCGGGCCGCCTCTTAACAGAATGTCCATTATTCAAACCAACCTCTGGTTGTGGAGCATCATAAACAGGCTGAACAAACGGCACCTCCGCAACAGCCGGCTGCTGCTGTTGCTGCTGCCTCGGCGGCCTACCTCGAGGCCTTTTACCAGTCGAAGGCCCATTACCAACTCCAGCCGCAGGAGCCGGAGATGGGCCGACAGAACCCGGACTGGGATGGCCCAAAGGTTTCGCCTTTGGCGGGCGACCCGGTCTCTTTTTCGGAGTCGTCGAATCTTGTGGTTGAGGATTCAATTGCGAAGGCGGAGCAGATCTAAGAGGAACAGCAGCAGCACCAGAAGCAGCTGCAGCAGCAGCAGCAACAACAGGAAGTTGATAAGAATTCTTAATCATAACGAGTTGACCAGAATTCTTCAACCGCTTCAAGTGATGAGTCAACAAGGCCGAGTGAGTTGGAGGAAGATTGGTATAAACTCGGTCAATATACTTTGCTATTGCTCTCTTGCTTGATCCTTCTGCTTTCCCTTGTGAACTGTCCCACATTATTGCTGCAGTTATCATCTGCATAAATTATTAATTACCCATTAAAATTAAATACCCATAAAAATTAATTAAAACCCCAAAATTAAAAATTAAAAATAAATTTGGGATCTAGAATAAAAATTAAACCTCGGCGTACGAAGGGTGAGTTGGGGGGAGTTGGGGCTGAGTTGGGGTTGGGTTAGCGACGGCGGAAGGCTGAGCATCGGCGGAATTCACGGCGAACAGCGGCGGAAGGCCGCCTACTTGCTGGTGCTGCTCCATGAAAGAGGAGTAAGAAAGAAGGAGAGAGATTTTCGGGACCCCGAAAATTGGGGTTTTCTTTATGTATTTGTATAATTTTCTGGGTTTTTTCTTGGAAGTGAAAATTGAAAATTAAAATTAAGGAGAGAGAAAGAGATAAAATAGGGTTTTTGAAGAAGGATTGGATTTGTGTAATAGAAAAGGTGTTTTTTTATTTATTTATTTTATTTATTGGTATTTTTATCTGTATAAATCTACAGTTTTATTTATATGATGTTTATTTACTTACTTTGTTGTTTGGATCTGAAATTTTGATCGGA